TACTGGATATATGATTTCTGAAGTTATTCTCCCAGTCAGTAACTTGTCTTTTCATTTTTTTGGTAAAGTTTTTAGATTAAACAGAAATTTTAAGTTTTTGTGAGATCTCATTTATTGTATCTTTTGCCATTTATACTGCCTTCTTATATTAGATAATCTGTCATTAAAAGCTAGGTTTGACAATATTACCTCTGCATTTTCTAATAAGAATTTTATGGTTTTAATTTTCATAGTTTTTAATCCATTCAGAATTTTTGTGTATAATCTAAGTCATAGATCTTTTTTTTTTTTTCATTTTTCTGCATGTGGAAATCTAATGTTTCCAGCAACATTTATTAAAGAGACATTTTGGTCCCATCAAAAGATCATAGTACCATTTTAAATCAGTTAATCATAGATGTGTGGGTTTATTTCTAGGCCCTCAGTTCTCTTCTATTGTTTTACCAGTACCAGGTTGTATTGGTTACTGTAGTTGTGCAGTGCAGTGAAATTTAAAATCATAGAATATAATTTCTCTTACTTGATTCTTCCCTTTCAACATTGTTTTAGCTTATTGGGGCCTATAGCAACTCTGTTTAAAGCTGGGGATTGTTTTTCATTTCAGTAAAGGTAATGTTAGAATTTTAATCAAGAGTTTGTTGACTCTTTAGATCAAATTGGGTAATACTGACATCGTTACAATATTAAGTCTTCCAGCCATAGAGCCTGGAGCATCTCTACATTTATTAGTATCTTCTTTAATCACTTTAGCAGTGTTTTCATGGTTGTATTTTCCATCCCTTGTTGGATTTATTTTTAGTTATTTTATTTGCTAAGATGCTGTTACTGGTATATGGAAATTTAACAGGTATTTGTTAGCTTTGGACCTTGCAACTTTGGCATATTCCTCTCTTAGTTCTCTGTATGTTGTTGTGTGCCATTGAGTCGGAACCAATCTGTATTTGACCCTCCAGCAGGTCTCCAGAGGCAGTAAATAAAACAGGAGGTGATTGATCTTTCTCCTGCAAAGCAGCTGGTGGATTTGAACTGTTTATCTTTGGACTGACAGTAAATTCCTTATGACAAAGGCACCATAGCTCCTTCTATGTAGTTCTTTAGATAGGATCACATTATCCAGGAATAGAAATAATCTTATGATTTCATATATGGATATATTTAACTCATTTGTTTTTCTTGTTTCATTGCTCTATCACTAGGACTTCTGATATTATACTGAATAAGAATAGTGTTGTGGCCCATTTCTTTTGTTTTTTATTTCAAAGAGAAAACTCAGATTTATTATAATGTTGGCTATTGGCTTTCATTTATGCTCTGAATTATATGGAAGAATTTATCTTCTAATTTAGTTTTCTTGAGAGTTGTTATCAAGAAAAGATATTGGATTTTATCAAATGCCTTTCAGCATTCATGGAGATGATCATGTGGTGAATTAAGTCTTAGAGGCATGTATTGTTATGGATATTTTGAATTATTCATGGTGTAAAGTGAATTATAATTCTTAGATTGATATGAATCTAATAGAACTTGTTTGATGAAAAGGAGTAATTTCAGAATGTCTCAAGTTGTTTCAAAATGCTGTTATTAAAATTAGCTTGTAAGTTTTAATTTGTATAGATTTTATTTGTGTTTATACAAGGTAGGATTTTTGAAGGAGGGACCCTAATGACACAGTGGTTAAGTGCTCTTCTGACAACCAGAGAGTCAGCTAGTCAAACCCTCTTCTTCGGAGTCAGACTTTCCAAGGTTGTGCTTATTTATGGATACAGATTGTCAATTTTTCTCCTGTGGAGAAGCAATTGGATTTGAACCACTAAGTTTATTTTAGCAAATGAGCACTTTAAACACTGCAAAAGTGAGAATTTTAAAGCACTCTATTAAAATTTTGGAAGCAGGAGTGGCATTTACTTCCTAAACAACATGCCTCTGGAAACTATGAACTTCAATAAAAGTCTAGAGTTATAGAAAGGCTTCAGGCCTTTTTTTCATAGGGTCGCTATGAGTCCTGCTTGACTCAATGGCCATTTACAACAACAGTTATAAAAAGTACAGCCTGGGTTCCTCCATAAAGATTACAGCCTAGGCAATCCTATGTAACAGCTCTATTCTGTCATCTGGTGTGGGGGGTTGCTATGAGTTGGAATCGACAGCACTCGACATCTAAAAAAATTGTGAGGGAATGACTTATAGGATAATTAAAGGTATACTCTCAATTTTAAGTCAAATGTGATCTTTATTTTATCACTGTGGAGCTAGAACTTTGAAAAACGGCTTTTGTATCCATCTCTTAGCCCCAGCTGGGGGCATGGCCTGCAGCACCTGCACTGTGGTCTTGCAAATCATCAACAACTTTTCCCCCTGACCAACCTCACCCTATACCCCCCCTTTTTTTTTAACTGAGCTTTTCCCATGTAATCAGCTACCAGGCTTACAAAAACCCTTAGAGTGAAGATATATATACACGTCTATAGATACATATTTATAGAGTTATTTTAAATAGAAAATAAATAGGGTTTCTCAAACTTGGTGAGTCTTAAATAAATATTAAATTCTATAAAGTAAACCCCACAATCATGAAGTACTTTTAGTGATTTTGTTTACATATTAGCTTGCAAATTATTTTCTGTGACAAAAGAAACAGTTAACTAGCTCTATATTGTTAGTTATACTTAATGTATGTGAACACTCTTTGAATAATATCACACCTTGAAAATTCATTTTTTGAATGAAATATATAAATGCTTCTGTTTTATAATTGATCACTTTCAAGTCTTAATGTTGCTAATTTGTTCTTTCTGAAGAGGAAATGAACTTTTCAGACCTATTTGAAAGTTCATTAATAAGTAAAATACTGTAAAATTATAGAATTGAACAGGGTTGTCTTAGTTATCTATTGTAAATTTTGTAAATCATGGTAAATTTTTCCAGAATTGGGCAAGTCCACTGTCAGGGACCTCTCCAAAATACTTAAGAGCAATGAAGCCAATTTGAAGACTAAGGTATACCTGGTTCAGGCCATGGTATTTTCAGTCACCTGCTATGCGTATGAGAGCTGGACAGGGAATAAGGATAACGGAAGAATTGAAGCCTTTGAGTTGTGCTGCATGAGAGTATTGAGCATCTTATAGATTGCCAAAAGAACAAATAGACATATCTTAGAAAAAGTACAGCCAGAGTTCTCCATAAAGACGGAGATGAAGAGACTCCATCTCTCATACTTTGGACATGTTGCTAGCAGAGGCTATTTCTTAGGAAGAGACATTATGCTAGGAAAGATGGAGGGAGAGTATAAGAGCAAGACCCTCAACCTCCAAAAAAAGATTGACACAGTGACTGCAGCATTGGACTCAAATATGTCAGAGATGATGAGGGTTGCACATGACAGGACAGGTTTAGGTCTGTTCATAGGATCGCTAGGAGTTGTATTCAATTTGATGGCACCTAACAACAACAAACCTTTATTGTCTTGCAGTCTGTTTGAATTAGAAGTTTTAAGTGCAGTGTCCTTGAATGTCTCTGGTTCAAGGTCTCTGACCATTTTTCACTCAAGCTGATCCCTGGGCTTTGGTCTGATCTGAAAGCTTTGCTGGGGGGAAGATGGGCTCTGGAAGCTCATTCATGTGATTCTTGGCAGTATTCATTCAGTTTCTGGTGAACTGTGAGAATGCCTCTTTCTTTCTGCCTGTTGGCTAGAAGCTTCCTTCACTTCTGTGACATCTCTCCATAGGGCAGCACAGTATATAGCGGCTAGCTTCCTTTCAAGCAAGTGAGTAAAAACAAAAGGAAGGGTGATTATCTAAAAAGGGAGTTTACAGATTTTTTGTAACTTGATCTTGAAAATAATACAGGATTATGTCTCCTGTATTGTATTTTACAGAGGTTAAGGATTATACTGCCAGTGCTAAAATCTACTGGTTTTCTCCACAAGGGAAAGATGAACAGTTTCCTGCCATGTGACTTATTGTGTCTGAAAATCTGCTAGAGGGTCAACTGTAGCTTAGTTCAGACTTGACGGTACACGACAAGAACAATACAGTAACCTACAACAAGAACTTAAAAAAAGGGTAAAAAACCCCTCAGCTATACAAGCTAATTTGGCCAAAGTTTACAATGTAATTGCCTGAAAAACTTGAACTGAAACTGATTTGCTGGTACCCGTGCCTTGTACTCAGTCTATTAGTGTCCTGTTCTCTCAGGAAATGTGAAATGATTAGAAAAGAGATGGAAATTGATACAGATACTGAGACCACTTGTAAGAAATAAAAAATGAACCTTCAGAGTAATTTTTAATTGACTTGGTTGTCATCTGGGGGAAATAAAGCCAAGAGGAGAGGATCCAGGGGGAAATACTCCTAGATGTAACAGTGGCTATGCGTCGGCATGGGGACACTGCGGGTGATTTTTTATGAAAATATTATGTGAAGTTTTCATGTGTATTTTATTTTTCTAACAATAAAAGTATAACCTTAGAGGAAAGAAGTCAGCTAGGTGATCTTACTGTGTTCTCTTTACCGAGAATACTTGGGCGTGTTTTTAGGAAGGAAACAAAGCTGTTTAAAATATCTTGGAGCGAGGGGAGTGAAACTACATTTTAAGACCCCCTCCCTTTTTTTTTGTAACCATCTTTACTTTTTTTGGATTTTAATACTCATGAGACAGAAGTGATTTTATACATTGCACATCAACACTGTTCAGTGTTAAGTTAGCCTTTAACGAACGATGTGCTTTAAATGAATTAAATTTAAGTTTTTGATGCTTAGTATGTGATTCTTGGTTACACAAACCTCTTTTGAAGCAGTAGGGCTACTGTGTTGGATAGCACAGATACAGAATAGCACAAGGTTACCATCCTCGTAGAAGGTTCTATACAGATATATATCAGTTCCATTTTAGATTTTATTTTAATCAAAGACGTGTTAAAATGCTAACCATTAAGGTAACTAAGTTGAACTTTATTTCTTCATTTTCATTTTCCAGTTTTTGGAGCCGTGAGGGATATAGCAGTTTGGTCAATATTGTCTTAACATGCTTCAGATAAATCAGGTGAGTTTTTATTAAGGCATGCTCTCCTTATATGGTATTTTGGCAGTAAATCGTAGAATTTTTTATTCTGCTTTTCTAGAACTATAATCTGACCAGTGCTTTTTAGAGCATACTGTTTCTTCATCAAAGGAGACTGACTGTAGAGCAGGTTAGGTTGTTCGAGGAGGCTAAGCCTTCAAAGTTGGTGACTTTTGAGTGTGCAGAACAGAAAGCCTGTCTTTTTTTGATATGACACCCCTCTGGGATTTGTTGGTGCGTGCAGATCTTGTGATAGTGACTTTGTTTTGTTAAGTGGCAATTCTGAAGGCTGAAAGCTTTTCTAGTGACAAATCACACTTGTGAAGTAGTTTTATTAGTGGGTTGAAAAGAGTTTCCTTTTCTAGAATACTAGGAAGACTACAAAGAAAAAGTGCTCTGCTAAATAAATCGCATCATATAATACCTTAGACTCACTGGGGTAGTATTTTCTTAATTCCTAGAATTTCTCTGAGAAGCTTACACATTTAATGTTATCTTTTTTAAACAAATGGGTTTTTACAGTTTAACTATAATATTAGAAAAGGCTTTTTTTATTGTAAACCAAGAGAGAAGTAATTAATTTCCTCCCCCCCCCTTAATTTGAAGCCATAATCCTGTATCTTCCTTTATCTTACTTACCTCATCTAAATCTCTTTCTGTGTATGACATACCATTTGCAAGCCAGGAACGTTGTAATTTTTATTTTGTCTAATCTTACTTCTGAACTCCAGACTCCTATAGCAAATACCAACTTGTTTTCTTAACTTGGTTGTCTTTGTACATTTAAGACCTAATATATACCAAAGAAACCATTGAAATATTCCCTTTACATTCTGGACTGTTTCTGTTTCTCACTTTGTCCAAGCCCATTGCAGCTGCAGGACCTCTGCAATGGAGATGATCTTTGCCTTTATCTCTCTTTATCGCCCCTATGCTTGGCTCACTTCTTGAGAGAACATTTGACTCCCAGAGTAGTTGATGCCCTCATAGAACTTTAAATTTCATGATATATGACATGTGCAGTTACATTCAAATATGCAGTTATTTAACATCTGTCTCCTTTGTTAGACAGTATGCTCTGTGAAAGCAAGATCTTTGCTTGTTTACTCATAGATCTCCAGGCCTACATCTTGTATATAGTTTTCATACATGTGCTGAATATGTGAATGAAAGATGATGCTAGGCTTAATTACTCAAGCAAGATCTCCATTTCTCGACAGTCACCACATAGATGTGCTGTAAGTTTTGATATTATAGGATGCTTGCATTGTAACAAATGCATTAACATTAACTCTCTTCCTTATAGGAAATTGTTTTGATTTTTCTCATTCTAGAAAATTTTCATGTGCAACCAGAACTTCTTTTATTAAAGATACTTAAGGAATATTAAAACTTCACTGTACGCAGTGCTTCCTTTAATTTTACAGAAGTTGCTGAAATCATCTATGGTGCTTCAAACACATGATTTGCAAGTTGTTGTAGGTGTGAAGTTGCTGCTAAATTATTTAATATAGAAACCTGCTATTAATAATACAGAGTAATTTATTTCTTTCCTCCCCATAAACGTATGGAAATGATCTTTATTTCTTACCAGCCACTTTATTGAAGATTATACATTTGTCCTTGTTAAGATTTACTAAGAAGCTGTGTCACATTGAATCAGGCAAACGATTTCTAGACAAACTTCTCCATGGCCAAAAGCAGTTTCCTGATGTGCTGGAAATAGCACATAGTGCTGGATATATACACATTTTGCATATAATAGATATGTATTCCTAAATTGGCTTATAGTATCTATCTTAATAATGTTTTCATCCCTCATAATACTTTAATATAAAAAAAAGTAAAAGGGCTTGAAAAATTATTTAAACTGACCTTCAACTTTGAAACAATTGAGAGCTTTAGTGTGATTTTTCATTTGTTGTTGTTATGTGCCGTCGAGTCGTTTCCGACTCATAGCGACCCTATACACAACAGCTCTAAACCCTGCTCTATCCTACAGTGTGATTTTTCAGTATAATCATATATTACTTAATGTCCATGATAGGTCATATGAAATAGGATGGTGTGTGATTTGGACATTATGTGATCACTGTTATTATGCAGTCCCTGGATTAGGAATGCTTTCCATTACTGCATCTGTCATTAAGTCAGGTTTGTATATAAATGGAACCGTTTAGGTATAGTTTGTATCTGATGTCAAATAGCCAAATGTTAACCCTAGTATATAGCCAATAATGTATGTACCTTTCTGTGCATAAAAAAACATTGAAAAGCACTTCCAGATACACTAAAATATAACAATACTGTAACAGTAACAATAATCTTCAACATAATACTGTAATAACAATAATAATATTTTGGTGTGCATTGCAAAGTAGCACTCATTTGTTATTGCAACAGTAATATGTAATGTAATAGATTGTGGAGTTTGAAACCACAGCAGCTCATGAGTCAATTAGATTTAGGGCTAAATTTTAATTGGGAAATCTTTAATTTTTTTTAACCACATCAACATTAACAGATACTTCTATATATGTTCCTAAAAGAATTAAAAATACTAAGCTAATCAATACTAAAATCTTCTTTGATATTAATTCTGCCTGGCATTATCATTATGGAATATGGCGATGCTTTCTGTTTTATTACAGTGATGATAATATTTCTACCTTTAAATTGTGGTTTTCAATTGTGGGTTTTTTATGTTTATTATACATGCGCTTATTTTCTATGTTGTAGAAAAATTTAGGTGCTTAAAAAATTAGGTATTAAAGCAAAAAAGAACAAAATAAAACAGTTCCACTATTTTTTTACAGAGATAATCACAGCTAACATTTATGGGTGTATACCTCTAGTTATATTCTGCGCAGGTATGTTTTTATGTGAATATAAGTTATTAATACTGGGATGAGATATAATGTTTTGAAATGATTTAATAATTCAGTTTGGTGTAGGTAGTACTAAAATTTATTTACACAACCACTTATTGTTGGACAGATTTTAATCTTGTTAGAGCTATGGTCAATTTTTTTTTCTCCAGATAAGGAATAATTGGTCTGAACATATGTAGATTTCAAAAATATTTAATGTATATATACAAAAACCCCACCAAATTAGGTCATCCAAAAGTCTGTGAAAATGTCTTTTTTTTGTACTTTCTTTACAAATTTTTGTTCTTTGCCAATTTGTCTGACAAAAAGTGGTACTTTTAATTTGCATTGCAATGATTTGTTTGTATTTGATTCTTCATTGTGTTTGCATTTTGTGAATTGCTTATTTGTGTTCTCTGTCATTTCCCCCAATTTTTTATTTTTGAACAAATTATTTGGATTATTTAGTGTTTAAAAAGAATTCTTTTTACTTTTTTTTCATTATTTAGTAAATAACTAATGAGAATCTCCTTGTTTCTGAGAGGTGCTTTGGCTGATAGAGGGAACTCTGGTGGCATAGCTGGTGTGGAATGTCACTGCTAAGCCAAACACTGTGCCTGTGGCTCCATGAGAGAAAGACAGGCAGTCTTCTCTGTGATTTTTAGCCTTGAACCCTACATGGAGGATAAGGTCTGAGTTGGTATGAGCTTTTCGTTTGTTTGTTTATTTATTTTTTTTTAAGTAGTCTTGTTACTTTCAAAGAAGTTGGCTGGTAGGTGTTTGAACCTTAAGCTATGGGAAGCTATATGAAAGGCCTGACTGCAGTGGAATAAGAACAGGCAAGGATAAGACAAAATTTAAGTGCTAGTGAAGTACGTGAACTCTGTTAAGACAAGATGGAACCAGATATTGTAGGATGTTACCCCAAAATATAAAGCCCCAAGCTATTATGATCAAGAACAAAAGTCTAGATAATAATCTAGATAAAGGATAATATACATATCTCACAGGTTTTCTTGTTAGGAATAATTGCAAGTGACAAAGAGAAAATGCTTAGTCTTGTCCCAGTATATTGCTACTCCTACTAGTATTAATATTAATATGGCTGTTGCTACCTGGCTCTGAAGATTGGTGAGAAAGGCAGGCAGACATCTAGGCAGGTTATTGATAGATTTTTGTTTGAGGAGAATGAATCACTTGGACAATCTCTCAGGCCCAGGCTGGTTTTGAGTACTTTCCTCTTTCTTGTTATGGCCACCAGAAACTCCCATTTCTTCTTTTCTCTTAGTATTTGGTTCTGTTATCTACTTTTGGTATTTTTAAAATACAGATTTTGGCTCTTTAGAAAGATCTTCTCATTTTCTCCTTTGCAGCCATAGAATAGTAAACTTCCTTTACATCCATAAAGGAGAATGAATATGTAAGAGGAACTTTAGGATTCTGCCAAATAATGTTTCTCAGTCAATGTTAAAAAGTTTTTTGTTCTCCAAGTTCACATGTAGAGAGTTGGTAATGATACATGGGACATTGGACAGAGTCCTTTGAAGGCTCCCAGTGATTCCAAGTAACTCAGTTGTGCGCCAGAACAAAATCCAGTGTTATCTAAAGCAATACAAAATAATTTAGAACCCAGCAATATAAAACTCATCCAATAAAAAAAAAGAAGATGCTTTCAAATAAAGCAGAAAAATACATTGACGCCCAAATATATAGTTACATAAATAAAAGCAGTAGCTACTGTGACTGTTTATGTACAGCTAAATGGAAGAGCAACAGTGTCAGTCTAGAGACTAAGGTGCACCTGATCCAGGCCATGATCTTTGGAATTACATGCTGTGCATCTGAGAGCTAGACAGTATCAGAAGATGATAGAAGACAGATTGATGCCTTTGAGTTATGGTGCTGGAGACGAGTGTTGAACATACTGTGGACTGCCAGGAGAACAAACAGATCTGTCCTAGAGAGGGTGAAAGTAGGCTGCTCCCTGGAGGCAAACATTTTGAAGCTCCATCTGCATACTTTGGGCATGTGGCCAGGAGGGACCAGTCCTTAGAGAAGGAAATCATGCTTAGAAGGGTGGAGGGACAGTGCAGGAAAGGAAAACCCAGAATG